TCATTTAGTCTGCTTAAACTCCGCCCCTGCAAGCTGACAAGCCACGCCCATATCTCAACATCCAATCAACAACTGATGTCAAGTCCCCACCTAACATTTTTATTTTTTCGAAAATCCATTACACATGTCCATGTTAATCCATGTGTCACAATACAGAAGAAAAGATCTGCCTCTACTTACATTTAATTACAAATTCAAATTAAATTTAGTTAAAATAAAACGGCAGCTGTGGTTGATGTGGAAAAACATGGTGAAAATGTTTTGCCGATATTAAGGGATGCCATATTGGTGCCTATACATTTTTATATTTGATAACTGCATATGTTCCATAACCGTATTTCCTTAAGTGCTAATAATGCTAACATGCCAATCTTTAATTATCTCAACTGTCAAGCAGAGACCTCTGGGAATGTCCTTTCACTGTTTTTCACCATAAACTCTTCAGGAATTTATTAGTTTTTACTTGCAAAACCCATACATTGGACAGTATTTTACAGCATTGCTATAATTTTCCCACGGTATATGGTAACTAACAGTTAACCCAATTAACATGTTTTTACTATAACATTTTTACTGTTTGGCATGATGCATTGTCATTTATTTTAGTGCTGAGCAACAATTAATCGCATTCAAAATAAAAGTTTTTGTTTACATAATATGTGTGTGCGCTGTGTATATTTATTATGTATATATAAATACACACACATGCATGTATATATTTAAGAAAAATATGTTTATATATTAAATACATTTATCTATAATATAAATTATATGAATATAAACATACATATGTACATATTTTCAAAATATATACGGTGTATTTATATATGCATAATAAATATACAGAGCACACACACATATATTATGTAAAAAAAAACTTTTATTTTAGATGCGATTAATCGCTTCCCAGCAGTATTATATTTAAAAGTACATGAATGCAAATAAGATTTGAAACCTGCAGTGGAGATTTCAGTGAATAATGGCATTTGAAATTTAGCAGTCATTATTTATGATACTTTTTGTCATTTTCTGGATCTTGACAGCACCTGTGCCCATGCAATTTTATTGGATGGAAAAGAGCAGCATGAACATTCAGCGAAACATCTTTTTTTGGGGGGATTACACAGGAGAACATTTTTTGGAACAACAAGAAGGTAAGTAAATGATGCAGAAATTTGCATTTTTTTGGGGTTAAGTAGTGCATAAGCATAATGTTAGAGGCCAGACACACAGGAAAACATCCTTTTGCTGCAAGTATGAATATTTAAAAGTGAAAAGGTCAGCAATGAAAGGTTAATGTGTGTCTATTGGTATGGAGGGCACAGTAACCTGACAGCAGGTCAGTGTGTGTCTGAGTAAACAGATGCTCTGAGCCAGATGTCTACACTCCCCTATGCAACAATCAGTAAATAAAACGTGGTTCAAATATCAAAGCATTTGAACCTATGCTCTTTAAAAACACATGCATACCTATTATGCATCTAATTCTGATCAAGTCATTTTTCTCCATTGACAACTCATTTGAAAGTATTAATTTGTCGTCAGAATGAGAGTCCAAACAGCTGATAATAGCATCACAGCCATCCACAAGTACTAAGCATGACTCGAGTCCCTTCGATGGCTTTTTCACTGAAGCATTATTATGGAGAGAGGACTCGTATTTCAGCTGGAAGCAACAGTTTGAAGTTAAAAATGTCTTGAATGTTGGATCTTTTCACTTCACAAGATGTAAATTAAAGACTGGAGAGGT